GTAGGCAAATCCTGAGGGGGACTGAATAAAAATTTAAACAAGTTCCCCCTCCTTGCAAAAGTTAGATTGCCCTTTGAGCTGGGAGAATTATGAAATCAATTAGAATTACAAGAGGCGGAATTAGGTTGAGTCAAATATGATTTCTTAATTTGAACTACAGATTTATCCTCACTAAGGGCAAAATAATGGGGTAAAAAGCAGCGGCTAAATGACACTTTTAAACGTGCCTCCACTATTTCCTGCCTTTGAGTGAGTGTCTGAACGATTTGGCTCTGTTGTGGAAAAAAAACATCGATGGGAAGTTAATTTCAAAGTCATGTGCATGAATATTGACGGCAAAAATAAACTCAATACAGGCAATCGCTACCGCTGTAACTGGTGCCATTAGAGGCTGAAGCTGTACTCTGTTGCTTTAGGTAGCTGGTCATACGTAACTGAACCTGAAGTTTGGATGTGTGGCTCACGTCTAAAATAAGGCCCTGGAAAGGGTGGGTGTTACTGGCTGCGGTAGGGTTGTGCATATGACCCATTGGAGCCTGGTGGGAACATGCTGCCATTTGAAGCAACTCTCATCCCAGAGAGCTGGGAGAGGAAATCTGTAAGTCTTCCCTTCCGTTTCCATTTCCATTGGCTGAACTGTTCGCTGTGGAAGGATATACTACACCCAATTCACGGAAAGTTTTTGTTTTAAATGGAGAGCGGCCGAGGTCTACCAGCATGATGGATCGCTCTAACCCTTGGCTCCAGGCTTCCCAGGGAGCTGGAGGCGCGCTGCCTTCGGCTTCCTGATGACCTTTGTGCTAGAGGTCTCAGGGCACAGGCACGCTTTGCAAGGCTTATCGCCAGAACAGCAAAATAGAGGAAATCACAATACACTTGCCGAGTGTGTGTTTGCAGAGAAATGTATTTCCGAGAGCTGCACGGTACATGGATAACCTCGTACAGGCTGCCAGTCAATGTTTGCTGGGCTTTCTGCCTGCGAGAACGTTAGGGAAGGTCGGGTTTTCTGCAGCGTGGTGTGTATGCTGAAAGGGCTCCGAAGGGTTTCCCTCATTTCCACGAGTACTGAGACACCTGCGTAAAAACTCCGAAGCAAGGCAGGAATATTAAGGTGAAGGTACGTTTATGTTTGGACTCAGCAGTGAGGGAAACTGCCATTTGGAGGTACCTCCAAGCTGCTGGTTTTCTGACTACTGTCAGAGGCAGGCACATTAGTGTATTTATATTAACCAGGGGAGGTTCTTCTGCTGGGACTGCTTTTAATATGCAATCTTTGTTTTATTGTTGTTCCTCAGTTTTGAAGGCTTTATAAAAATTTGCCTGACAGTATGCAGCAAAGTGTTTTGAAGAGACGTTTCTTTATGAAATATAGATGACAGTTTCTATATGGCATGACAAGGAAATACATGTTGTACACACGTTTATGCCCATACGCTGTGAGAACATCCCTGAAAATGCCTACTGTTTTGGCACTTTATTTTAAAGAGCTGCTGCCATGCGTCAATGCCGGTTGCTATTCTTGCTGCAAGGACAGGGCATGTTGGTAACTCTGCATTGCCGCTGGATGTAGGATCCAGACTCAAGGTCCGACAGACCTGGGATCCAGCATGACGTGTGTTCGGCTCTAGATTCAAAAGAGGTGGCTCAAGCTGTTCTGGTCCTTCTCCCAAAGTGCTTGTTCTCGACTTGGCCTTGGCCTCTCTCCAGGGCCTGGAAACCTAGTGAGAGGTTCTGGTATCTGCAGAGGCTTCTGAAGTCCACGTATGAAAATGCTTTGTAGCATTTGCACAAAAAGAGCCTGATGACTGTGACTCTTGGCAGGGTTTCTGGCACTCCTCCGGGCAAGCGGGAGCTCCTTTGTAATTATAAATAGGAACGTTATTTTTCCATCACAGCAGGGCTGCTTTTTACCTTGCTAGTTATATTTTGCATTTAGAGAAAGGGAAAAAAAAAAACCCTACAACCCGACAACTTATCAAATTCTTCTGTTTTAGAAGACTCTGTGCGAAGGATGAAGTTACTCTCTAGGAGCTAGAGAAACTTGAATCCTGCGAGAGCAGGCAGAGGCACCTCCGCTCGAAGGGCTCACATAAGGAGGGTTATTCTCACGGGGAAAATATTCTCACTGAGAGCTGCCTCTTACTGCTGTATTTTTCCCTATTGTCTAGCTGCATACAGCCCATGCTGTGTGTAAAGCCTAGGCGCGAAGGTCTAACCGCTTTGCCCATGGCGATGCCCTCGTCTGCTCTGGGACTTGGACACGTGTTTTTCCAGTCCTGGGCTCTCTGCTTGCTCCCCAGCGTAGCTCTGGTCTCGCCGCACCGTTGGTCAGGTGCGCGTTGCGGTGATTTTTGCGGCGTCGCACCCTCTGTTTGCTGTAGGGCCTTCTCAGCTTCATGAGCCAATGTGACTGGGGCCACCTGTAACCTGCCCTGGACGAGTCGGGGGGAGATGGACCATCAGTGGGGTAGCTTTGCATGAAATTATCCTCCCTCTGATAAAGCTCCTGGTTGAGATCGCAGGCAGCTTTACCTGTGCACAACCCTCCTGCAAGGGCAGGCTGCGAGTGTTCTGCCTCCTGAGAGCAAAAAATGGCTAAATTAGCTTTTGTGAAACATTTAATGCGTGTGCAACATGAGATAGCAATGTCGCAGTATATAGCTTTATTAGTTGAGCTTGCTGGAATTGTTCTCTGAGCTATGTTGATCCTTAGCACTGATTGTGAACTGGAACAGAAATTATTTGTTAGTCCTCAGGAGCCTTCAGACTGAATAATGCTTATTCGGAGAGAAACTCCGTCAATCTTGTGGTTATAGATGCAGCTGTTGCTTTCAAGGAAAAAGCAAACGAACAGATTTTGTAATAGGTAGCAAACGTTTTTGAAGTCTTCTGATGTTGGTATGTGTGCGTCCTTCTGAAGGATTTAGATGCTTTACAAGCATCTAAAGATTGTTTCAAATAAAATTTTAAATGTAACACAGGACAAGATTTTTTATTTTGGAAAGAAAGGTGGACCATCCCGCAGTGATAATGTTTAATCCTTCTGGGTGTTCCCAGTCCCGGTGGGAGGACTAGGAGACTGCATGGGGGACCCCCAGGATTTCCATTAAAATATTATAAACAAAATCGTGTTTAGACATGTTGTACTCTAAATGGTAAGGTTTTGTGAGGAAACTTTCAAAACGGGAAACTTCAGGGGTTAGACTGGACCTTGAAAAGAGGTAACAGTTTTCATTTTAAAATGCAAATGAACAAAACTGGTTTTGATTATTTCCAGTATAGTGTAGTGAGTATACTTCAAAGCTTTAAACTTCCTGAGGGCTTTGAAAGTTTACTTTTATCAAGTTGTAGAACTAAAAAATTACACCCTAGTGCCTTTTCAGCTTTGGTCTGTGCTGTTTAACTGCTCTTCATGAGAAGAAACAAAGTTGTCTGATAAACCACAATGACACCAGCCCCTGGTATCCACCCCTGGTGAGGAACTACTGTGTGAGAGGAATGGATTTTGCTTGCTGTTTTTCGGGCAGAGGGAGTTTCCTTGGGAGAAAACTTTGGAGTTTTCCCAGGTCCTGGGTCTGGAGCTGCTTCCCAGAGCCCTTTGCCAAGAGGCTCTTTGAAGCTCGGGTCTCCCTGGCACAACACATCGATGTGCAGCGTACGAGACTCGCAGCAGTGAACAGAGATGAGAATTATTCCCATATCTCTTAAAAAAATTTTTTTTTTAAAGGGAACATAGCAAGCAGTCAATAGTAGTACTCCAAAAACTAATTATTTTTGATATTTTAGGAAAAGGGCTCACGTCTTTCAAAAGAGCGTATTTTGGCGAATTCTACTGGTTATGCCTCCAGTCATGGAGAGTGTGGTTTGTATCGATCTGATCCGAGAGTGGGAATGGCTCCAGAAACGCTGTTCTGATCTGGCTCATGTTTTGCATAATGTACTGCCCGTTTCAAAGGTTAGGTTATGTTCAGGTTTACTTACTTGCCTATAAGAACAGCTGGCAAGCTGTTGGTAAAGAGTAAAAGTAGGAGGCAAAACACCCTTCAACCCTTTGGAAATCTAAGTAGCGTTGCTATTATGACAGGCAGAAAGATGCAACGGAAAAAACGCAGCTGAAAAATGCTGCTTCTGTGTATCCTTTCCTAATTCACTTTTGTCATTGCTTGGTGTGCGACAGTGTGATAGACTCAGAGCGATAATTCCTGGAGTAGCTTTGAACTGGACATCAAAATTGGGAACTGAACGCTACAATATTGAAGGATATCTTCTGAAAACTGGCTGTACTAAAATGGTATTTGCTAGCTCATCCAGCACATCTCCGTGATTATATTCAGATCAGAGTTTGGTGAATTTTGGAAATACAATATACTTTTTTGCTATTGTCTTGCTCTGATTTTGTTGTGCACCAGGTTAGAGGTGGCTGGGAAGAGAGGACTGAAGGAAGGAGAGGGGTGAACCGTGTTGGATACGAGCCTTTTGGTCAGGTTGCTCTTGGTTTTTCTAGCAGACCCTTCTAGACACCAGCAAAATGGGAAATATATTAGACTGGACAGATTCGCTCCGATGCGCAGGTCTCCAGCCGTACAGCCATTAATCCGTGACTAGTACACCCCTAGTCACTGCCTAATTCTGCCGTTGGCAGGACTAGCATGGAGTTCACTGAGACCTGGATTTGGCCCGTGAGATGCTGGGATCAACCAGCTCTGCATTTTTCCCTGCGTTTCTGCCTTTTCAGCCTTTCTGCATGCTCAGTGGTAAATACCAGCGCTTTATTCCTTTTGATAAGGTGTGTTTAAATTGCTGGGATTGTCACAGACCGTCTTCATACCTCCTCACCCCTGCTGCTCATATGAAAGTGACTTGTGCTGATTTTTTGCAGGGCCCAATCTGGCGGTTAAGACATGATTCCTGTTACAATTCCCTGTATCCCTGAGCGCAAATCTTACTTCCCTCTCTGCTCCTGTGCCCTTCTGACTCTTTTTTCCTCTGGTTTCTCGCAGTGTGTGCTGGCACCGAGAACAAGCTGAGCTCCCTGTCTGATCTGGAGCAGCAGTACCGGGCACTGCGCAAGTACTATGAGAACTGCGAGGTAGTCATGGGCAACCTGGAAATCACCAGCATTGAGCACAACCGAGACCTCTCCTTCCTGCGGGTAAGCCACCTTTTTTTTTTCCCCTCCTGTTTTCTGCGTTTATGTGAGTAGCCACAGGTGGAGAATGGCAGGTCGCTTTTCCACCAGTGCCCGTAGCCTGCAATATAAGAGGACAAAAAAGTGTCACAGATGTGCAAAGAGCAGCGATGGTGCTAGGACAGATGCTCTGCTCTGAGCGTGCGTCGTTTAGATTTATCCGGACTCGTGGCAGAAAGCTGGGTCAATATGCAGTAAGGTGACACCTCCCGTGTCTCTGTTGCTCTGGGTTGCCAGCAGGTACAGAGCTGTTAGGGTTGGATTTAGGAAGGTCAGACTCATGCACTTGTGGTTTTGACTAGCTAATCCTAATGAAGTGCTATATATGGACTGGTTAATAGAATAAACAAGAGGATAACTCCAGGCAACATTGTGGAGCATTTATTTAAAAAAATAAAAAATAAACAAACAAACAAATCAGTGATTACTAAACGAACAGAAAACTCTTCTCTGTTTACAAGACTGGAGTTACGACCCTAAATGTATCTTCAGCTTTCAGAGGTCTGAGATAGATCAAGGCAGTCCTGCTGCTGTGACGTCTGGGTTGTGCACTCCTTCAAGGCCTTCTTGCTTGAGAGGATTTCAGGTTTCATATAAAAGTCATGTTTGTGGCCTTTGTGTTTGTGAAGGAACCTGTGTGTGGTTTGTGTGTTATGGTAACAACTGCAAGCGGGGAAAGGTGAACGCCAAATTAACAGAATTAAACCTAACAGTTTGTTTGGTGTTCCAAAACTAACCCTATTTGAAGAGGTATCCTGGTAAAGGAGTCATCCCACGCGTTCAGGTGTTGCAGGCGATGTGGCTGCAACATGGAAGAAACTGGTATGTAGGTTTAAGGACCGCAGGAGAGAAAGCACGAGTGTGTTGGTGTGGTTGCAGCCCATGTGGGTCGTAGTCTCAGATGGAGAAGGTGGAGCCCTGACATGGAGGGGGGTTTCCCGCTGCTTGCATCCTGTCCTACTGCTGGCAGATAATTCTGGAAAAGGCTGATGTTGCGTTTCAAGATGCCGGGTCTCGGGCGAGCCTCCTGCTCTGTTTCAGTTCACAGAAGCTTGCACTTCCCGTTGTGGGCTCCAGTGAGGGCGAGCCAGGTTCTCCAGCAGCGTGCTTTGCTTCCCTTCGGGTTAAACCCGCTGATGCTTTCACGGGATTTCTGCTCTATAGGGTGGCCTGCGTATCGTCAAAACGTACACCAGGCTGCAAACCTCGGCCGCCAGACGCGGCTAGGGTGAGGCTTGGGCTGGCGTGCTAATTGCGCTCAGACTAACAGGTTGCCTGTTAATTTGAGCGATGAATGCCGCGGAAGTAAACGCTATCTGTACGTTTCACAGTTGTGACAGGTGGGGGAACCCATGTGCTCGGGCTCTGAAATGGATAGCCGTGGCACAGCTGGACCGGGGTTCCTCGTCATGCGAGACGATGGGCAGATACCTCGCATGAGGGCGGGATCCTTGCGCCACCCTGGGCGTAGCTGACATTTCCGATGCTCCCGGAAACCCCGACTGGGCTCCACATTCGTTACGGATAATTCTCCCGGTTCGGCTTTCCTTCCTCTGTAGGCAGCCTGCTGGTAGGTGGGGAAAGCAAATTAATGGCGAGTTAGCGAGTCACTGTTGCCTGCAGAGAACTGTCTTAAGCAGTGTAAGATGTTAGTGGAAAGCTGGCAGTAAAATCGGCAAATGAGAGCAAGAAAGAAGGGCTCTGCGTGGTAAGCGAAGGCAGTCCGTTCACACTCGCCTTTTGGCAATGGTGGCTGTAGCTTTTTTTTTTTTTTTAATCAGTATTATTATTTATCTTACTTGAGACTGCTCTCCTACAGGTGTCTTGGCAAAATCCAGAACTTAAAACCCAATAAAGCAGAAGTCTAGTTAATATGATAAACTGTAGCCATTAAAACGGAAGACCAAACAGAGGAGAACGTGTTCTTGGTGAGGCAAATAAATAAATAAATGTTGGCATGTTTATGCCGATAATTCAGCGTTCATTAGTTAAACGTTATTACTTGTTTCATTGTTTAAAAAATGATTTTAATGCCCAAATGAAGGTGGCAGATCGGCAATAACTAAAAGAAAGGTTATTTGTCTTTCTCAGATGTAGTGAGCTCATTGTGCAACGTCTGTGTGTTGTGATAATTGCCTGCTTTCTCCACCAAATGGACTTCAAGTAGGCAGTCGATGTCCCGCTGGCTTGTGGGTGGTGGCATGTCTGTCTGCTGCATGCCATACCTTTGCGGGCCTCCTGCCTTCTTAGTGTGAACTTGGCTGGGCAACCTTTCCCTCCAGTCAACAGGGAAGACCTCGCGAAAGAGCCATCTCGCGCAGAGGAAGATTAAAAGATCAGTATCCCATCTTTTGTATTTATTTGGACATTTATCCCCTAAGTAGATTTGCTTTATATATGTGATTTAGCTCTCTGAGTATCTGCTAAGGAAGACTAAAAAGGGCTGTCTATCACCTGAATTAAGCGTTCAGCCATTTAGACTTATAGGCCCATACACAAGTGCGTGGCCTTGAGATCACGAGGAGCTTCATTCACTTAAGAAGGGACTGCACAAACTTGCAATTTTTCGTGACAGCCTTATGCCTGTGCAGGGAGCAGAAATCTACTGTTTTAGGTTTGCAAGTGTCGTATTGCCTGCTTGTGAGTGGCCAAAAAAAGGGTTAGTGTTTCCAGCGCAAGGTTGTCCGTTGCAAGGCCCTGTCTCCAGAAGGATGAAAGGTGGCATAATGACCTGATGCTGCCAAAAATTTGCCTAAGTGCTGGAGGTAGCACAATGGTTTTGGCCGTGAGCTGATCTCTCTTTCTCTCTCGTTCTTCTGGGGCTCAGTCTACCCAAAGAAAACGTGCAGTGGTTTAATACCGTCGATGGAGTCCTACCACTGCAGGCTTCTAAAATAAGCTGGCTACCAAGTGAGACACCTACCTTTTATAGCGGAGACAAAGTCTCCACTGGAACAGATGCTGCAGGTGAAGTAGTTTCTGGCTCTGAGAGCTTGTGGTTGCACTAAGTAAGACCAACTCTCTCTTCCCATCTGAGTATTTGTAATATCTACGGGATCCCGTGGCAAGTCAACAGTAAAGGCAGGCGTGGGTCAGGGCTTCCCCTCTCGCTCTGCCATCTTCTGCTGCTCCCCGAGTCAGTGCTCTGCCCCGACGGCTTGATTCAACAAATTGTACGGGGCAAGGTGCTCACGCGAGGGCTTGCTCGGTGAAGCTAAATAAGATCGTTTTACTGGTGTGCCCCTTGAGTCTCATCACGGCTGGAACTGAGAATTAGTTCCCGATTTGGATTTAGGAAATAATCTCCAGAAAAGATCAAATCACTGCTTCACGTTGCGAATGGCTGCTTTGCTGCAGACATGGGAACCTACTTTAGTTTCACTTAGCAAAACTGACAGTTTGTATTGTGGACTTGTTCGTATTTCTTAATAGCGTCTCTGTATTCAATTTTCTAAATGAAATCCACAATTGGTATACCGCAAAATGATCATCTGCAAGTACTCATGTCCTGTTACGCACATTTGGTAAAGGAGAGTTATCTTAGCCTAATCCTCAGGCTTTTAGCAGTTTGCAGCCAGCAAATTGTTGTCTTGTCGCTGGATTTTATTTAACCAATTCTGATTATTTATTTCTGAAGACATGACCAAAGTTCTGCACTGTTCACTGCAATAACTCTTCCGAACGATTATGAAACTTATTTCTGACTGCAATCAGCAGCCTTCTGAAAATGATCTACCAGGGCTTTATGCGGGGTTTTTTTTTTTTTGCTTTACCTTTATAATGCCTGGGCCCACTGCAGCGCTTTAACCACAGCTGCGTTAGCTGCTATCTGCATGGCCTTTAACCGGGCACCTTTACAGCTCCTGCAGTTACTGTGAAAATGTATCGTCGCACCTTTCCTTTGTCAATGTATATAACTGTGAGTTCTGTGAAAACCTTGGCAGCCAGCCCACGTTTAAGATATTGCTTTTCTTGCAATCCTGCTTTGTCGGTGGCGGGCAGAATTTTGGTGTTTGGTGTGTATCGGTATCCCCGGTAGCTGGCAGCCTCCCCGCGGGAGCTTTGCCCGGCGATGCGGAGGGCCCCCCCCGAGCCGGCTCACCTCCTTCCGTGGTCTGATGCTGCACCGGCAGCTCCGCTGTGCGCGCTGCTGTTTCGGTCCGGCTCTAGCACAACCTTTTTTTAACGCTATTTACAAACCCAGCAGCTTCTTGTCTCCAGCCAGCTAATGCTTTGGCTCCTTCCCTGCAGGAGGACTTTTTTACTCTGTTTTATCCTCCTCCCATCTATCTCCTTTTATTTTTATATCTGCCTAGAGCTTTGCAATAGGCAGAATAGCTGTGCTAGGAAGCTCGTTTCTCTTCCACGCACGGGACTAACCTCTCTCTAAAATAAGCCCAAACCCCCCTGACTTGCACGACCTCTCTTTCCCCTCTGCTGCTTTCCTGAGCAAACCCCACCAGCAATACAAAGCCAGCAAATAGCCCCAGGCTGCTCTGCAGTGTAATTTTGGCATTGCTTCGAGGCTGGTAGAAAGCATAACTTATGAACTGTACAAGCTGCTACTCTTCGGCTTGAATTGAATTCTCAGCTCCTGCAAAACAAACACAGAAGGGAATTAATACACAATTAATCCTCGAATTGGATTTGCCAAGCCATAACCAAATATATGTACATTAGCTATTGCCCCATTAATTTTGCAATTATTTTTGGTGGTTTTGTATGAATGGTATAGTTTGAAATAGCGTTTGTAAGACAACTAGCATGCTGCGTAAAGGCAGGTTCCCTGGCGATTGCTGAAGGACAGTTCCTGTTTTGCAGCTTTTGCAGCAGTTTCTTTGCGTAACTGCTGGACTTCTCTTGATGCACCAGTGATTGCTGTGCGCTGGCGTTGATGTGAATAACCGCGGCTGGGGTGCAGAGGACAGTGCAAGGAGGAGTGCCGGGAAGCAGGGCGTCCCTCT